AAAGTATGAGACTAATGACAGATACACATTACACTTGTATGAATAGTACTTGAGAATGTGGATGAACTACAGTTGTCTTTTGGTGGTCATTTACCATGATCATTGGATCGTCATATAAGTAAATGAGTAAATCATCTATTGATATAATTAGATTTTAGTTGTAGGAATCAATTCTGTGAACATATATGACAGGAGAAACTGATTGAATTTCAGTCAGATTTTACATTGTAGACAATTGTATACACAGAAATTGTAAATATCAATACACAGATTATGACATGCATCTGCAAACACATAGATAGACAATGGACATTTCACTGTCATCAGGAATGTTATCAAAGTTTCTTCAACTTAAAGCCAAAGCATTCACACACAATGCACCCAAACTGACAAACACTGATTGGATTTCAGTCGTGAATATTAGAAACCGAAATACACAGACACTTATCATCAAAATATGCTATACTAGTTGGGCAAATAGCAGGATATTCGATCTCACCCATTCAGTGTATATCGCGTTAGCTATTGAGAAACAAGGTAGAGGACTTGTCTCTGATTCATCTACAACTCACCAACCAAACTCAACAGACTATGTTGACATTTTTGAAATTTGATCAAATATTCAAACACTTAAACACTTAGGGAACATTGGAATAATCAACTTCCACCAATCTTGTGTTCTCTTTTGATTAGGATGATGTTTATGAGATAATAAGACCTGCTGTTGACCAATTGTCTACAATAGCTTGTTTAGTGAATAATGTTGGTATGGCGTTACCCTTTGAATTGTTTGCTGGAGAAGTTGATTCCCCGAATGAAGAATCAATTAGAAATATCATTCACTGTAACATTATGTCTACAGCAACAATGACAAACATCATTCTGCCAAAAATGTTAACACAGAAAGGACCTAATCCTGGTATCATCAACATTGGATCTTATTCCGGTTTGAAAGTGTATCCGCATGCTACATTGTACTCTTCAACCAAGGCATCTATTATTCAATTTTCTAGATGTCTAGCTGCAGAAAAGTATAGAAAGAATGTGATTATACAAACGATTTGTCCAATATGTGTATCCACAAATATGACCAACCAAGTGAAAACCACATTTTTCACACCATCTGCTAAAGTCTTTGCTAAAAGTGCATTGGATATGTTTGGCGTTGAACAACAAACTACTGGTTATATTCGACATGATTTACAAATATATCTTTACGATTTGTTACCGGCAATAATTTCTAAACAACTCATGAAACTAAAAGCCAATTCACAACGAAATAAAGCTTGAAATATTTACCTAAAATCTGCAAATGATCTTATTATCCTCTGATAATCTGTTGCCCATCATCATCATCATCATCTCAATATCTAATCCATTTCATACTAAACAGTAATTGATTTAGCATCTTAGTTTCGTTTGTTCTAAATTGTAAAACACGTATTTATTTGACAATATATTTAGTTCAATTAGTCAGTATGGTATTCTTAAACTGTAATACTAGTTACAACGTAAAATATGAATAAAGTTTATAAATCTATGTTTAGAACTTCTCAACTTCTGCTTTTGTTTCTCATGCTGATTAAGTATCTGAGATACTGGATCCTACTCACTAGATATTTTAACTAGTTATCTGTGTTCGTTTGTTTGTTTTAACACATCACAATATCTGTAAATCGGTCAACCATATTCATGTGTATTTATGAAATGTGTACAACCTTTCGCTGTACAAGTTACAAAATGGCCTAGAGATAACGATGTCCTCACAATCGTGGTTGCTGGTAATATGCAGCAAGAAAAACAAATATCATTTACATCTCCATTCCTCAAGTGCTAAATTCTAACTGGCGACCATTCAATATTTATCATCAGAAACGACCAACAAGCTTATATATATATATGTTAATATATATGGTTATATATCTGCTGCTGAATGATTGTTATGCGGTATCACAAAATGAAGGACCCTACAAATATAAAATCATTACGTGGTAACTGAATACTTAAAATGTATACTGCATATGCAGTAATCTTGTGATATATATCACAAGATTAGTGTTTGATTTCACATAGCTTTGTGTTTGCTCAATACTTAGTGATATTACGCGGCGAGACCATGATTTGTGTTGTGGTATTTGAAGATATTGAGGTTAAGCATTAATATAATGCCGGAATAAACAGACCCATGATGGTAATTTTTTGATTTTTTCACAAATTTCAAAACGTAATTACAGTAGGCCTGTAGCAGAAGAAGAGCTTATGAAAATGTACCCATTTTCGAATCTGAGAAAAGTTTGACTAATCAAGATGTATCTTTTGTTTACACTCACAATATTTCCAGGGTGTTTGTAGAGTTTCTCACGGTCTTCTATATAGTATAACTTCCATGGAATAGACAACTCACTCCAAACCTTTGAAAATTTATAGGTTTTCTATAAAGTGTAGTTAATTTATTCAGACTGAATAGTGATCGAAAATTTATTAAAGAACAACAAACGTTAGATATGACTATTTGGAAGATATTTAACATGAATGTTTGGTTTTTAAAGGCAATGCATCTATCAGTATAAACATGAGAAGAATCTTCAATGACATCAAAATACTATTCAATGCATTAAATCTAAAAATCAAGACCTGGAGTTGACATTTGTTTAATAACAACTCAGCCAACAAACTATCAGAATTCCACTATTAAGTGAGTATCCAACAAAACACCTGTTAGTGTGGAACCAAATGAATTGGTCATTCGTTAAGCATTTTGTTTAGGGATGGCTAAAAGCATACCACGTCCAGCTTTTCTAACATGCTATTCATTTTTTAAAATATTATCTAACGAAACTGATTGTCTACTAGTACAACGATTCCCTAATAATGGAACAGAACTTGTAGCGAATACTCGTAAGTTTTTTGGAAGTATTATAAGTGTGGTGAAAAGAGGTTGAAATATTGAGTGCAAGCGTAGGTTTTTCGAGTTTTCTAAAAGAGTCATAGTTGTAGGGCCAGTGACTGATAGGGTAATCAACCCCCAACCTACACCTAGATTTTCAATAGTAAACCTTCACTTAGCCTATCTGGGAGCAGAAAAAATAAAATCACTTACTTGTCAGACATGTTGGAGGCCTAAGATTGATGCTGAAGTAAGTTGGAAACCGAAACTCTATCCTGTTTGTTCTGAATAAATTATCACACAACAAGACTACTTGAAATCATTGACCTGCATCTTATACATAGTGCCGATGTATTCATGCTAATCCTTAACTCGTATTATGTTTTATTTGCTGTTAACTAAAATTCGAAATGTTTAGAAGTGGTAGTGATGAACATTCCTAGCGGAAAATTTACTCAAAGAGCAATGAATGATATATACAGTCGTGAAGGAATACAGAATAGATTAGTAACTAGTAATGAAACCTGTTCCACAGGAAAATATGTTAACAACTAGCCAGATGATATTGAATATTGTCACCTATTCACAGGTGCAAGCTACTCTCAGTTAAATGGTTTGTAAGAACATTCTGTTAGAACTTTAAAGGGTGCTAACACATGAGTGAGTCCAAGTAATCTGGAAGAGCCAGAAAAATGCGTCAATGGCATAATGCAGAACATTCACGAAATTCTCGAAGCTTTAAGTAATTCTTCAAATCTAGCATACTTCAAACTCATTCAGTATGTAAAGCATCATCAGAATAATAGTTTTACCTTCAACATATGACTAATGATCATCTACAAGTATTATAATTTAGAAGATGAATAGTCAATTGATGAAGATTCTTGATTTAAATAACCATTCGATTCACAAAAAGTAAACATGTTGATCAAGTAAAAATTCATGAATTAGATAACTTTAATTTTAATTCAGATTATACTTGGATGTACTGGACGGCCATTTCGCCCTGTTATGGGGTTCACAGGAATGAGCATCCATAACCCCGAACGAGTAGCTTAAACAAAGGACTTTCAGTCTCGCGCGTACGCTTAACCTCTAGACCGCTGAGCTGGCATCAAACAATGTTAAAATCTAACTTCAGTGAATCCATGACGTACCAGGACGAAATGGCAATTCAATGATAAAAGCTGTTGAGGGTTGTCAAACAGTTTCCGATTCATGATCGCAATAAAAACTCAACAATCTTCACAACCCTTGACTGATACATATGCACCATACAAATCATTTAATTTTTGTGAGGGCTAGGATACTGCACGGGTGCCTTAACCGAAGCAGGGGGTTTTCTTTAAATACCGCACCCGGAGCCTTTGACCTAAGCGTCTGATCCACAAGTCAGTGAAGCAAAATCAGGAGATGCAATCCCATTGGTAGCCGATCACCAACAACTGGTTCATATGCCATTTATTTCTTCAATATCCTGGAGCCCATGTGCACCATTGGTCTGTAATTAGGGTTTTGCAATTCGACCTGGCAGATCCTTCATATCCACTTACCTGGTGACAAAGCTGGACATTCACTTTACCTTCTCACGATTTCATAAACAAACACCCTCACCATCTATTATAGCCCAAAGCCGCCAATGAGTGAGCAGTGACTTATCAATCGGATTAGTGACACATAAACCCGTATGAGCAGCCTGGAGTCCTTATTGGTCCCGCTTCCTGTTTAGCTCAGCCCGTTAAGTCCAGAATACCAATCTCAGCCTCTGCAAAATGAATCATTATATTTCAAACATACTCGGTTTATCTACCAACAAAAGAGACCACATCGTACCATAAAATAGGAAACAACATTTGCACAAGATCTAGCCAAATGTGGCTGTGAGTGAGGGAGGCAGTGACTAATAGACAGGGCATAATTCAAGAATGATAAATCATATAATAATAGTACATAGGTCAAAATAAAGCTTACAATAAGAGAAATATGAATATAAATAGTTTAGCTACGTAACAGTCATACAATAAGAATGTATGTATATTATTAGTCTAGAAATGGATCTCCAAAGCTACCATTTATTATGTTTATCGGAACAATATCATACCATACTATACCATTATACATATTTCTTACGTGCATTCACTCTAGCATGTGTCAATAATATCCATAATGATGTTGGTAATAAATCAAATAAATAAGCTTTATATTCATGTAATATATAACCAGTAGTCTGTTGTACTACACCATACATATTTAATGCACTATGAACAAATAATTTAGCCGATGGATTAAAATATGATGGTTTTTCATGTTCAGTCATTGTGGTATAGATAATTAATGGACATAATGTCTGTATAATCACATTCTTTAGAAAGGTCTCAGTAGATAAACATTTACAAAATTGTATGATAAACGCTTTTGTTGAAGAATATACAGTTAAATATGGAGTTGTTCTAAGTGCTGAATAAGATGCAAGGTTTATAATACCAGGATTAGGTCCTTTCTGTGTTAACATTTTTGGTGGAATGATGCTTGTCATCATTACTGTAGACAAAATGTTGCAATGAATGATATTTCTGATTGATTCTTCATTTGGTGAATCCATTTCTCCAGTAAATAACTCTAATGGTAATCCCATACCAACATTATTCACTAAACAAGCAATTGTAGATAATTGATCAATAGCAGATCTTATTATATCATATGTATCATTCTAAATATATATATAAAACGAAGAAGAACTTGAAATGAATAAGATTAAGCTATTGACCATGTGAATGATTGTGTAATATAACGCAGTTAAAAATTTACTGAAGTTACTTATTTACTCCTCGTGGAGGAGCATAGGTCACCCCTACCAGAATAATGCGCTTTGATGATTCTAGATTCGTGAGATTCCCACTGTACAAGTGCATTATAGTGCTTCTTTGAATAGTATTAGAGCTGATACCTGAGTGTATGGAGTATTATCCTTTTCGTGCTTGGAGTATAGTAGCATCTCTTCCGTATCTAACCTTTGCTGTTCAGCCTCGGTCCAATGAGTTTTGTTGATTCTCAGTACTGCCAATTTGTATCTCCTCATTTACCGTTTCTATTTGACTGATTCTCTTGATCTTCCGCATTACTCGAACGTTCCATGTACCTATAAAAATTGTTGCTCTGGTTGTTAGAAGGGGCATCGGCCTCGTGACTTCCTATGGAACTCGGCTGTCACCATGAGGCGTCCTAACTATTCTCAATGAAGAACTTCTAATTCCCACGGCAGAGTTTAAATGGTTTGAATTATTTTTTTTCGGTTAGCGTTTTTTAGCGAGTTAGTTTTCTACGGGATAGGTTTGCTAACCCCATGTCGAACCCTTTTTCTTTACCCGGGCTTGGGAACTGTAGTAACTCTAAAAGAGCTATCGGCAGAGTGAAAGGTTAGATATAACATGACATATATATTATGTCAATAAATATTTTGCTCACTTGCTAATATGAGGATACATCGGTCATGGTGGGTGAACACCAAAAGACAACAGCAATTCAATTACACTCTCAACTATCATTCACACCAGTGTATTGTGAATGTCATTAGTCTCATACTTTATACAACTTCAAAGTAGTTTCAAACCATTCTGTATATATAAACAAGTCAACACTGAACTATCTGACTAAATGAGAAAAATGAACCACACAGATCAAACTACATTCTCCATGGTCACATATTCAGTGTAAATTGGTATGTGTGAATTCGAATTTTGGTATTATGCAGTATAGCTTGATTCAACTGGTTGTATGAATGAAGTAGTTGAGCAGGTGACATGATGAAGTGAGACATTAGCAACTGATATGATTGGTGAGAATGGCTGAAACTAACATATTACTTACTTACTCACGTCTGCTATACCCAATAGAGCATAGGCCGCCAACCAACATTCTCAAACCCACTACTACTACTACATTGAGATAAGATATAGTGTGAAACAATGAAATGAATTGAAATGACCAACGTTCTCAAATGATCACCATATTTATGTAAGAATAAGTCGGAGATCATTCAGTGTTAGAACCAACAAGCAAAAGACAAAAAAATCATGTGCGGGGGGGTAGGTGATGTAATAACTGAGTAACGTTCATTGACAGATAATATTAATTATGTAATAATGTTTAAGGTAAAAAAAAGGATTTGGATAAGATTCCTGAAATTGAAAAAACCAAAAAGCAGTGATAAGATGAGTTGCGTAATAATTAGAATGTATGACTGAAGAGGGGTGAACCATAATTATTGCACAAAATAAGAAATCAATAATGAAGAACATTTATATGTTCATGGCAAAGCACATATATTGAAAGAATCGAGAAAGAAGAATAAATGTTCGTATTTCTGAACATGCCCCTTAGAAACTGAGAGTGTGTGTGTGCGTGGGTCGGTGGGGGGGGAGGGCTCTTAATAATACAGTAGCTCGGTATTTATTTAACACTGAGCATACCATTGCTAAAAAACAAACTCAAACTTGATCTGTGTATTGAAAAAAACGGACAATAATAAACCTATTAGTACCTTGGTAATTCAATTTTCGGATCATTATTTTTATTTTGGTAATGTTTCGTTTTCATCTGGAAGATACAGGTTTTTATTAACAGCTGTCTTCGCAGAATACTTCGGTTCCGTTGGCCGGACACTATCTCGTGGTATCGAAGGAATACCGAGATCGTGCCAAAGGAGTACAAGTGTGGTTACTGAGCTTAACCGAATTCATCCAAGGTCACAATCAACGGAAAAAAGAATGCCTTTAGTACAGTTAAACAAACAAGTACAGTAAAACAATCACTGGTACAATTGGTTATAATAATAATTGTTTTCATTAAACCAATCGCGTTCTCTTGATAAAAGTACGTCACTACACTATCGTATAACATGAATTGGATTAAAAGTGTATTAAAGATCGCATTGGTTAAGGTGATGAAAATTCTCCCAATTAATGAAATATTCCCTTAACCTCTAAATCACCATTATGTAGTTAATTTATAGTTACATGTTTTGTAACTAATTTGTCGTTTGTTCAATCACTTGAAACATAGTCAATCTTGTTCTTTTCACAGAAAGTTGTTACATGAAAGATTCAAATGAAACATGTCTAGCTGCATCAAAACCTCATATGATATGCCACGGGTGTTCAAAAGCTAATAAATGTAGTAATGGTCTTGATACTCTTATTAATGGTTGGATAGTAAATAATTGCACGAAGATTGTAAGTTATCTTTGAACTTAACAGGGTTTTTTTCTTTCAACATCGTTTTCATATTTCACATCTTCTAGAGGTATATGAAAAGAAGATTGGGTTAGGGGTGGTTTTAATGACCTGAGAGCGTAACCACCGTGTTCAAGGGACAACTGTTTGAGGTCGATCACACACGATCTTTTTGTGAGTAACTTTCGTGTTAGCTCCGTACTTGTTGAGACCTTATCGCCGGAGACGTATATCCGTGTGATAAGACAAGGTGTGCATTTTTAGGGTCGAACTTTTCAAAACCCCACCCCTCCTTGTGGGAAGACAGCATCGCTGTTATCCTGGTTCTCTGAAGGAAACACTCTACTACCGTCACAGCTCTGTACAGTCAACAGTACGACTTCGCTATCGGACAATGGGTTTGCCGCCTTTAGTTTCACCGCTCTTCAATCGGTTTGTCTTGCATGGTAGGACCATGAGTAACGATTGTTCCAGATCGATTGGTTCATCACGATAGGCAAGCTTACCCACCACGTCAAGGTATCAGCAACGATGACATTGGAATCGGCGTAGACACTCTCTGTCTTCCCTTAAACCGTGATATTAAAATTACTTTATGCCTTTCTTCCTAATTCGTTCTTCCTGTATCATATCCTTACACACAACCACCATTGAATTAACTACTTCTAGGAATTCGGTGTTCATCTTGTTGTGTTAATGAGGTATGGCAACTTGGACCGATGTATCTATGTGTCTGATCTTAAATTGTAGCTGACTGACTGACTGACTTATATTTCACACTGTAAATCTGTATGGTGTTTCGCCTTTTTTTCTTCTCTTCAGAACAAAACCTTACAAGCAACTGAAATCAATGAACATGAGAAATCATTCCGCTCCTTATACATTATAATAACATTAGTTATTTGTTTCTTTATTGGACGTATAGTATGTGTTATATGGCTATGCTTATATAGACGAATATGGAATAGTTTATCCATGAATGTTGTGTTTTAATTAATCTAACTATTTGTTTAAATATTCTGGATAAACTTTTCTTGGAGACAGAATGATGTTATAAACTGAACTGTTGAAATGTCATTCAACAGTTCCATCCTTCATTGTTTTATATCCTGACGAGAATATTGAATAGTAACTGTTGGGATCCATTTTTTGAACTAATACTATACATCTATTCCTATTGTATATTTGTTCTGTAACTAGATGACGTATATTTATTTTCTCATTATTATAAGCTTCATTTTGACTCATAAATTATTATGATACGATTTATTGTTCTTGAATTATACTCAGTTTATAATGTCTATCTCTCATATTCACAGCGACTTTTTGGCTAGATCTTGTACAAATGTGTTTTTTTTACTATTTCATGGTACGATGTCGTCTGTTTGATTTGTATATAGATCCAGTTTGCTTGAAGTACTTGATTCATATCACGGAGGGCTAGTCAGTAATAAGGACTAATAAATACTCTACATTAGTCGTATAGGTTTTAATGAATCATTGATCCGGTCGACAAGTCACTGTTCTATTATTGTCGGTATCATTCCGTCACATATTGATAGGGTCAATAGGTCATAAGAAATGATATATTGCTTGATTATTTACTGTTTAGTAAAAACTAGATAACAGACTATAGTTAGTTAAGTATTATGATGACCGATTCTATAGAGTTCAGCAGATACTTACATAGGAATGAGGAAAAGTGTAGATTAGATAAGTTAGTGACAGTTTTATCTTAATAGAGCTAAATAAAATGATAGATTCCAAGAAAAACACTGTAGTGTTAGTATCATCCGACGATCACATTACTGCTCATTTCTTGATTAATCAATGGTTCCCATTCTTAAGGAAATATGGGAAAGAATTCCACAAAGATTCATTTGCACTGGTTATTTGAACTGTCTCATTGGTGTTTGGGACTGCAATTGATCAGTGTTTTTATGGTGTTTGTATATCTTGCGTGAATTGACTCCGTTTTACCATTAATTAACAAGTAATATAAGCAGGGATGGATGGTGGGTAGTAGTGGAATCTAGGACGCGCGTCCCTTCCTCCTATTTGGGAACCGTTAGCCGGGTTTATCTGGATTGCATAGTTGATCTTCACTCCGATACTCATACCCAGTACCATTCACTTTGAACATCAACGCGTCATCCCCTGAGCTACTGAGACGAGATACACACTGGCTTTTACGAACAGTTTCAAACAAGGATATAATGATGAGTACAGATTTGATAAATGTTTATCTTATGGTGAACGGCATCCTCAGAAATCATGTCCTATTTGTGATATCAACTACTGTAACGATGACAAATTTGAACACATCAAGGTAATGTGTAGAACTATTGTTCATTGTGCTACTAACGACACTAAATCCTGTTACTGAGATGCCAATAAAAGTGGAGTTTCCAAAGATCACACTTTATTTTTATCCATAATTTTGAACGGTACTTCCCACGTGTGAAGTGATAGTATACAT